CTACTCCAAGAAACAGTTAAGAGATGTTAGGTTTTGTACTCGCTTTATTACCAACATTTGACAAAATGAATTGTTCTACAGACCACTTCAAAGTGCTCATGAACCATTCTATAACACCATATCTCCCATTGTTCGCTTATAATCGAGCGAGCGAAGTGAATCAACAGTAACAATGATTAGCATTTCTTCAAGGCTTTGCGAATTTTCTCCCTGGTATCATCTTTCCATGGCTCATACCAGCCGCACAGCTCGATTTCCAATTGACCATTGCTGTTTCCACCGGTCAGGAGGTAAATGTTTTGTGTTCCTTCGAGGTTAAGGTGTACACCACACTGCGCTTCATCGGCCTTGGTTTTGAGCTCAACAATTTCTTTTTCGTCAAACGGTCCTATAAAGGATTGCGTAACTTTGATTTTGTAGATCACTGAGCCAACCGACAAAGGGTCATCCGATCTTTCCAAAACCTTGCCTTTGATAGCTGTTGTAAGAAAAATAAAAGTAACGTAGTAAAATGAGGCACAGGAATGGGTCTACGAGTAAATTCCTGCAACTCAGGAAGGGTGTAACAAAAATAACGAAGCATTAATTTGAGACCTTGCCGGAATAAAGTTGGCGATGACAATTTGTGAACAAGGCAAGCATCGATTGAAATCAAATTTGCGTTAGCTCTATAGGATTTTGTGCATCTTTAAAGAAAATGAAACCTTTTCCTTTGAAAATTTTATGGAAAGGAGATACAATATTTAGCTGATTATGCTATCAACCATTGTGAAAACAGCTCAGAGCCCAGCTGGCTATACACGCAAAATCTCAACAGTTGATGCTCTGGTCACAGCAAATTAAAGATGGTCGTAGGAATAGAGACTGTCTGTTTAAGCAGGTCTAGGTTGTTCAAATACATCGTTAAAAGATATCAAAAAAATAATGGTTTGAAGAGTATTAAGTCTTAAGTGAGCGGCCAGGTTACTAAGTAGGTTTCAAAATGGTGGCGTCCGCAAATGCCAGGTTACTCTTTGGAGTCTTCAAATACGCTCGACGTCATATTTTTAATAGGCTTTTTAATGGCTGCGTTAAAAAAAAAAAGGTTTTTGGAGCATGCTCTTTCTCTGAGAAATGTAGACTAATACCTGCCAAGTCGACCAAGTCAATGAGGTTGATTTAACACTAAACAATTTCAAAATGGAATCTCACCGTAGTCTGCAGCGCATAATCGTTGTTTGTTCCAGTACTCATAAGCATTTCCTTTCCAGTCTGATGGTGGTACCGGCTCAGCGCAAGAGCACCCTTCACTTAAGGCCACAGCGCACAACAACAGCGTCATGTAACAGAGTATGGAAGTCATGATAACAGTCTGACAGAAGAAAATAATATCAATTTTTTCAGCTCTTCTTATAATATTATTTACAATATTTATAACATTAGTTGTTTAACTTTTTTCTTTTATAAGTAAGGCAAATGATCTCGTCTCTCTGGTTATAACCGACTTGGATATCACTTCGTGTAAAACGTTTTGCTCAGATGAATGACCCACGAATTATCACAGTTACTATAGGACAGCGTGAATTTCAAAGGAAAGACTTTTTTTTTTTTAGATATGGCGGCCACAACAACAAGCTACATCAGCGGAGGTCCAAATTTGTTTTTCATATAATGTTTATTCTAGAGTACAATCTATATGAATATTCCAGCACCTTGATTAGTGTAAAGATAATGAGTCGACGTCGTATCTTAACCCTTAAACTCCCATGAGTGACCAAGACAGAATATCAATACAATATCAACCAGATAAGTGATGAGAATAAAGAAAAATATCAACTTGGTGATAATTAGTTGATCCAATACTCAGTTCTTAAAACTAACTTTATAAGAATTGTATGGTTGATAGTAAGGAGAATTACAAATTTAGTCTGGGAGTTAAAGGGTTAAAAATAAATACATGGTGAGTTGAACGCTTGCAAATATTCTCAAAATTAACGACAAAGACAATGCAGAATAGTCAACGCGTTTCATCACTTTTAACCCTTTAACTTCCAAGATCTTATTAGTAATTCTCCTTACTGTCTGCCATACAACTCTTATGATGTCAATTTGGAGAATTTGGTATTGGATCAACTAACAATCCCCGCATTGATATTTTTCTTTATTCTCATCAATTCTATGCTTGATACTGTATTGATATTGTAAGGAGAAATGATCTCTTGGTCAATCGTAGGAGATAAAAGGTTAAATTATTGACCTTTTTTCAAATAGTAATGGAACGCATCACTTCGGATGCTAAGCACTGACGCCAATTTCAAATCACCAGCCCAGCGTTGCATGGAAGGAGTTACCGTAGACAAATCAGATTCTTCTCAAGCGCTTACTAATCTGTTTTTAAGAGTCTGTAGTCTGTTCTAATCTATTGTGCACATAACTTTACCACCAAGAAAGTGACATTAGATTTTGAATCCTGATTTATGAGATTACTGTTTGCCCTTAAAATCTAACGATTTTTCGGTTTTGGTCTTTTTCGTTGTTGTTGTTTTTCTATCAATTTTTGATTTGATGAGAGATCTTAGCGGCCTCACTCTCCAGATCAAATGGGATTGTTATCTTCAGAATTCTAGCGTTTTTCTCTAGCGACATATTGATCTGATTTTCGCAAGGGACCTTGAGCCCATTATTTTCTCTTAGTTTTTACGAGTGGAAATTTCGGCCAATTTTTCGGTTTTTTAACAGGCCCTAAATGTGCGGGCAAATAACAAGTAACGTTTGAAGTCGGCCGTTATGCCGATGTAAAGAAAATATAAAGGTTAGGATTGTACCAAAAAAATTGTTGTTCAAAGATAACTATTCCGCTAACCTGGTATCCTTCCGAAAGTTTTCCTGTTTTTGATAGCCTCTTCACTCGACCAATCAAAGCAAAACAAAAGAGAATAAATATGCAGGTTATCTAATTTTCTGTTTTGGATCAAATAAGATCATAACAACGTAAAGCTAAGCTTGTTTCAAGGTCAACTTACCTGATCTGTTCTGGTGAATTTGGCGGTCTGACCCAACTCATCAACGAGGTGCAGTAATAAAACCAAGTCACAATAGGCCTGATAAAATGTGCTGGAATATGCGGCTCCCTTTTGGCTGTCGATATTGTGTTTACTTTTTTAATTACCGTTTTTTTTAAGAAAATAACATTCTTTTTTCTTTCCGGCATGAGACCAATTTATGATCATATCTGTTCAGTTACCGCTCCACATAACTCCAACATGAAGGCAAATATTATAAAATATATTACACTCATTTCATATATTGTAACCTCGCTTTTGAAGGGAAATCGTCGCACCTTTAAGATTTCCCTTATGAAAGTTAAAGCCCCCTTTTTTTTTCTCTATGAAATCTCTCGGTTTCTCTTATGGAGCCCCATTTTTCTGCTTAGGTGCAATCTACTTTTAATTGTCTTCGTATGGGTTTCTCTTCACTGATTGATTAAATTTGACCAGTTTCAAATAATGTAGACATAACCATGTGCACATCGACGTTTTCGTTCGCCGCGAAAATTCCATCTGAGGAGGTCGAAGATGTGAATTTTAAATCAAATTAAACTTAACCTAAAATTTAATAAGTGTCAATTTGCAAACGGCGATTTTAAGACGACACCACCAGCAGTGTTAACGTACAAATGAATTGCCGACGAAAAAGTGTAAAAACCTTTTGAAAAAGTTTCGTTAGAGCATAAAACTAAAGATACAAATCAATGGAATTATAATACACGCGAGGAAGGCTTAAATCTAAATATGTTAAAAATAAACTTCAGATGAGAACAGAATGCCTGACTGAGAATTTACAAGCAACCAAATAGTTTCCAGAAAGTTCCAAAACGTTGCCTTGCAACTCATTCCTAGAGGTTTCTTTTTTTTATGATAATTCAGTCTTCAATTCAATCGGCATCAATTGAGGAGGGTAGCGGAAAGATGAGAGAGGTTTTTGAGTGATTTGTGTACTTTTTTTCGCATATCAGATACTGATATTTCCTCAATTATAGTACACCACTGAAGCTCATAGTTATGGTGCTTGGTAATGTTCGTAGAAAAATAGTGTAAAAAAAAAACAAACAAAAAAACAAAACCAAAAAAACTCTCAGTGAAAAGAAAACCGCTACGTTGATAAACAAGGTTGCCATATCAACATTGTTACCTCCATGTGAGAAGATGTAAATGATTTATTCACTGCGCAAGGTGAGGATATCATGTTTAGATACAGGTCAGAGAAATTCTGGCTTTTCGTGAAAATCAGTACAGTAATAATACAAATTAAGGAAAGGTAAAGAATGTATCGTGATTTTTTTACTGGCGACGGAAGAATTATGGTATCGACACTTCGAGAGTTTGAAATTACTCAAATCATGGTAGCTTCTTCCTTACCTAATGTATTTTTTTAAAAAAAAAGATGTCTCTCGGAGTTCTATGAAAGTCTCCCTCTTCGCTTTTAATGAACCAAATTTAAGGAAAAACTCTCAGTCGCTCAAGAAGTTTCAAACCTGAGACAGCCCTTGTCAACACGAGATCGAAAACTCTGATCGAAATTTTGATTTACTGTTGTCTCAATCCTGCGGCAAATTTTACAAAATTTACTATTAGACTTCTTAGCATTGGAAATCGCTTGGCGCTTCACCGTTCAAGAGTATCCACGAGTTTAAAAAGAAAAATGCTTAAACGTAGATGTTGCGCTTAGGCAATAGGTAATTGTTAAATAGACTTTTGATTGATAAACACAATTTTCAAAGAACTGCATGCTGTAAAATAATGAGCTGAACCTGTAAATAGGTCGCGTTTTGGTACAGCTATTCAGAGATGATAACTGTAAAGGAATATACTATAACGACAACACAGGTGTCGTGAAAAAAGTTAATATCTCAGTGCTGAGATATTACATAATTGTTTGACTTCAGACGTTCGCTATACCTGTGTTCATAGTTAAAATGGGGAATTTATCGCGATAGAAGTGGTTGGGAACGTGAAAGAGAAGGGAAAAAGTTGCAAAAGGACTTAGCCGCTATTTGTTCGAACCGTTTGAGAAAACGGAAGTTCATGAAATCAAGATTCTTCCAGGCAGGAACTTTTAAATGAAGGTAAGAATATCAGTGCGTCTTACGTACATCTGATAATACCACTATTTATCCCTGAGGATTAATACAACGAGAACGAACGACAAATGAAGTATCCAGCGCAGGTAAAGATGTACGCTGTGAAGAATCTTTGTTTCCACTCAAATTCTTAAACATAGATTACCAGATCTGTATTCAGTGTTCTAGACGTACAGGAAAAAAACTCGTATCTCACAGGAGGAGTACCAGCGAGTCGCGAATGGTTTCAGTTCTGCATTTCGTCGAAGAATAGAGTGGCACGAGACCCCTTATTAATCATCGGGCGCATTGATGTAAACCTGTTCAAAGCGGGTTCAAAGTGCGTTCTAAATACACGTTTAAAATGCGTTCAAAAATACAATTTTAGTAAGAATTTTGCGAATGGCTGTATGTATTTATTGTCTCTTATGGCGCCACGCCTCAATTTCAGCATATCAAGTGTGAACTTTAATGATTTGCCATCGAGGTTTCCGTTCACAGGACGCGCAAATGTTGGTGTTTTCACGTTGTTATTTTACAGAGGATAAATAAAATTCTAAAACGCACGTGCGAAGATATTGTTTTACCCATTGGATCTTTAATTTGGCCACCTTCTCATCGTCGTCTTGGTTTGCTTAAGGTCCCTTTGCCTACATCACTTGAAACTGATTAAATTTAATCAATCGGTGAAGACAAACCCATGCGAAGACAGTTAAAAAATAGAATGTACTTCAGCAAAGAAATGAGGTTCTAGTGATAAGAGAAACGGAGAGTGTCATGCACGAAAAACGGGGCTTTAATGAGCGTCGAATTTTCATTCGTTAATTGTGGAGAATGTTAAGTGTAAAAATTTTCCTCTCCTAGCCGTAAAATCCATTGCCTCATAGAGACCTACTCGTTACCTCGAATTCTTTTGAGAGGGAACAAGGTTCTTAGCTTCCACCCACCCACACCTACAAAAAGCGTAGATTTCGGACCGCAATAACTGATCTCAGGCGTCACGACAAAAACTGAAAATCGCAACACCATCGCCCTCATAAAGGTAAGCATTTGTACAAAGTATTCCAAACTTTGCTAATATTTTTTCTATAATACAAAATAGGTATCATGGCTTCCATACTCTGTTATATAACGCTGTTGTTGTTCACTGTTGCCTTAAGTGAGGAGTGTCCGTGTCTACTCCCACCACTACCGGAAGACTAGGAGAGAGACGTTTATGAGTACTGGAACAAGTTTCGTTTATGCGCCGCAGACTACAGTGAGATTCTACTTTGAAATCATTTAGTTTCAATCAAAATCATTCACTCGGTCAGTTTGGCATTAATCTGATCTCCATTTCGCAGAGGAGGAGCATGCTCCAAAAAAATAAAAAAAGAATTTTGTCGCAGCCATTAAAAAAGCTTTTGGAAATTCTAAAGAGTAACCTGGCAATTCGCGTACGCACCATTTTACAACTTTCTTAGTGGTCTGTCCACTTCCTTGCGGCATAAAAACTCCCTTTACTCTCCCATTGTTTGCATTTTAATTCGAGCCACATAAACAATCCATGCTACCGACAATCACAAATGGTCAACTGTTTGTAGAACACTACTTTCCCGAGTTGTTTTGTGCGTTCAAAGTCTTCGCTCCTCGCGCATCACCACGACGCACCACGTGGCTGCGATTTTGAAAAGTCACTTTCTGTGCAACATTTTTATTGCGGTACTTTTAACTTCTTTTCAACAGCTATCAGAGCCAAGATTTTGAAGAGGTCCCAACCAAAGATGACGACCCTCTGTCGGTTGGCCCAGTGGTCTACATAATTAAAGTTTTGAGAACCTTTAAAGGAACGTTTGATGAAAAGGAAATTGTTGAACTCAAAACCCCAACCAATGGAATTGAAAATTTCTGTAAGGTGAAGCTTAACGTCAAAGAAACTTATCTCCTGACGGGTAAAAAAGGCGAAGGTCAGCTGGAAATCTGGCAGTGTGACTGGCATGAGCTTTGGAAAGATGAAACGAGGAAAAAAATCCGCGAAGCCCAGAAGAAATGTTGATTATTGTTATTTTAAGTTAAGTTCGCTCGATCGGTTGCAGGCGAATAGTGGAAGATATTCAATTTAAGCAAGTTCAATAGCTCTTGACCTGGTTTTTTTTAACTATTTATTTTATCAGATGGTGAGAATAAAGCGTGCATAACTCGTAAAGGCTCGTCATCGTTTCTTGGGTTGGAATGGGGGAGGGGGTGAGGGTAGGGGGGAGGGGGTGAGGTTAAGGGAGAGGGGGTAAGTGTAAGGGTAAGGGGGCAGAGAGATTATCTTATGCGAAAAATGACGTCATCCTGAATGTAAAAGAGTTTGACGCTTTTCATTGGGTAATCTATCTGCCTGTGAAACCAACTGGTGGAAATGTTTTAAGGTCACCTACTCTAAATTTATCGTCTCTTTCGGCACCACATAACGTACATAACACAAGATAAGCGTAGGAAACCACGTCGCGAAGCGGAGTGGTTTTCAGCTTATCGAGTGTTCTCCCAACCTCCCAAGTGTTTACATCAGGCTATGTAAATACGGAAACCATTTTACATTTCTTTTATAAAATAACTAACGAAAGAGGAACGAAAACCGTGTTTACATACGCTCATGTAAAATGGTTTTATGGCCAATCAGAGCGCGCGTACTATTTGAATTATTTCATAAAATGTAATTCAGTCAAGTTGTTAGCAAATAAACGGCCACAATTGTGGCCAAGTTATGGCAAAAGCTATTTCCAGCAAACAAGAATAAGCCTGTGAGTTTAAATGAGCGAGAAACATAAAAACCATTGATATCTTCAAATAATAACGTGGTCGTCACAATAACCGGGTTTATCAAGGTGGTGGTTTCACTTTTGACGAAGGGTTTTCTTTTTACTATTCACTCCCCCTCCCACCCCCCTCAGTCATTGTTGCTGATTGAACTGGGAGACTCAATTAACATGAGAGGAGAACTTTGGACATAAGATGCTTGGTAACGTCTCGGAAACGTTTTAGGAACTTACTTGCAATTATTTGGTTGCTTGTAAATCCCCAAGAAGCAGTTTTTTTTTCTCATCGGAGATACAGTTTTAACTTAATGAAAAATTAGCTTTTCTCGTGTGTATGATGTTTCCAATGATTTATGTTTTAAGTTTTGTGTTTTAAAGAAACTTTTTCTGACGATTTTTACGCTTTTTATTGGGCAATTTATCTGCAAGTCAACATAGCTAGCGGTAATATTTCAAAACCGCCCTTTCAAATTCAAGTTAGTAATTATTAAATTAAAATTTGGTTTTACATTTTAGACTTGCAGACTTGCCTGTGATAAAGTTTTTGCGAAAAAAAGCAAGGAAGGACCTTAGGCAGGCAGAACAGTGGTGCTGAGGAAAATGTCCATTAAAAAAAATTAATTTATATCTTAAGTTAACATTTTGCGAATGGCTGAATGTATCTATCGTCTCTTGCGGCATCCCTCTCAACTTCAGCATAACGCATGTGAGTTCGTTGAGTTCTTTAAAACTTTAAGTAGCTTGCCGTCGAGGTTTTCGTTCTCAGACTATGTAATTTTTGCTGATTTTGCCGGGAACGGTTAAAAAATGTACAAAGTCTTAAAACGCACGCGCTAATTGCTGTTCTATTCATTAGCTCTTTTGCTTGGCCGCGTCCTCATTTCTTTCGCAGTTTTAATTTGCTTGAGGTCCGTATTGTCTTAATTGCTTGGAACTGATTAAATTTAATCAAACAGTGAAGATAAACCCATGCAAAGACAATTAAAAGTAGAATGCACCTTAGGAAAAAAATGAGGTTACACTAATAAGAGAAACAGAGAGAGGTCACGGAAAAAGGGCCATAGATTTCAAAGTGACAATTTCTAAGGAAGATGATCCGGGGTGTCTTCAGTGGAAGGAATGGGAAGTGGCAACCGGAAAATATGAGTGAGTCTCGTGCTAGAAAAAAAAAACAATAATTACTTAAAAAGATATTATTTTCTATAAAATACGGTAATTGAAAAAGTAAACGTATAATTGAAAGCCAATAGGGAGCCGCATATTCCACAAAATTTCATCAGGTCTACTGTAACCTGGTTTTATTACCGCATCTGACATACGCCCTCGCCATCAGTTGAGTCAGGCCGCCAAATCGATCAGAACACATCAGGTAGGTTCACCTTAAAAACAAACTTAGCTTTGAGTTTGATTCATTCTAATTTGATCTAAAAAGGAAAATTAGATAACCTGCATACCTATTCTCTTTTGCTCTGGTTTACAATGAATATGAAAGCGATCTTCGCAGTCGTGAACACTACTGAGATAACAAGGCAACTGGGGGTTGGTAGAGCACTGTACCGGTATCGCAGAGGTTATGGATTCAAATCCCGTACAGGCCTGAATTTTTTTCAGGTCTAATTTTGATTACTTTCGTTGTCGTAAGCATTCAACTCATCGAGTATTTCTTTGTACAATACAACCTCGAATCATTATCTTTCCATTAGTCAGAATTTTGTACAAAGCTTAACTTTAACTGTATTCTAAAAAAACAGTGAAATTGGAGGGGATCGGACAAAAACTACTGCTCCAACATTCCTGTGCTTATTGTATCAAGTACTACACACCTTAAAAGAGCAACATTGTGATTCCAGCACAAATCGGACACTCGTTACAAGTGAAAGAAATATCTTAAAATTAAAATTAACCATCTTTCTTGTTCTAGTTAAGAGCAAGGTGATCCTTGATTTTTCCTCCGAAAATTCAGATGCTGGAATATTCACATAGATTGTACTCTCGAATAAACACATTATGTAGAACTAATTTGGACTTCCACAGATCCAAACGACCGTTGTCATGGCTGCCATATTTGAGAAAACAGGCTTTCCTTCAAAGATAGCGCTGTTGTCACAATGATTGTCACAACTCATGGGTTATTCATTTGAACGCCTTGGTGACTGAAGAAACATTTGGTTTTGCCGGAACTGTTTCGTCCATTTCATGTCCTAAACGAAACAAAACATCTTAAACGAAGCGGATATCTAAAAGACGAGATCCCTTTTCTTGCTTGGAAAAAAGAAAAAAAAACAAAAACTAATAATTAGTTTCTTCGCGGGAGTAAAATGATTTTTTTGAGATAAAACGTCGGTAGAATATTGACAAGTCGTTATTTGACAACAAGCTCAGTCAAACAGCAATTAGTAATGTTGTTACTCTTACCACTGTCGTTATAATCATTATTTACGGGAAAAGGAAGAAATTGTTGTTGTTTTTTTTTTTCCATAATACGAGGCAGTTATCATGGCTTCCGTAATCTTTTATATGACGCTGTTGTTGTGCGCTGTAGCCTTAAGTGAGGGGTGCTCATGCGCAGTTCCTACGATACCACCAACCGCAGGCTGGAAAGGAAATGTTTTTGGATACTGGAACATGCAACGGTTTTGCGATGCAGACTTCGGTGAGATAATTTTTCAAAATGTTTAGTTCAAATCTACCTCATTGATTTGGTCGGCTTGGCAATACTCTAATTTACTTTTCAACGAGGAGGAGCATGGTCCATAAACCATAAAATCCTTATCATACCCATTAAAAAAAGGTTTTTTTTGGACGCAATCATGATGAAACTTATTTAGTAGCCTAACCGCTTATATTTTTATTGTTCTCAAATTTTCATCGCTACCTTAACTTCAAGTTGTTTTCGAAGTCTTCGTTGACTTTGTCAAGCCTTGTATTTACTATTAATTTCCCTAAAACAGCTATCAGAGCCAAGGTTTTGAGAGGTTTCCGACCAGAGATTTCTGAAAGTGATGACCCTTGGTCAGTTGGCCCTGCAAGCTACACAGTTAAAGTTTTGAAAACCTTCAAAGGATCATTGCACGAAAACGAAATAACTCGGTTAGAAACTCCAGCCAATGGAGGACTCTGTGGTGTTCATCTTAACGTTAACGGCGAGTACCTCCTCACCGGTGGAAAAAACTTTGGGCCGTTTGATATCATGCTGTGTGATTGGTTCGAGCCTTGGAGTAAAAAAACGTTCAAACAAATCCGCAAGTTCAGTAAGAAATGTTAATCATTGTTACTGTTCGTTAAGTTCGCACGATCGGTTGTAAGCGAATACTGGGAGATATTATATTCTAGA